ATACAAGAGCAAGATGGCAGCTTTACGCTTCATGGCCTACTTCAAGCCTTTGTAGAATTAATGCTTGCTGTTGAGGATCAACAGCATAGTCAGCGGGTGCAAGAACTTGCAGCATGTATGGAATGCGATACTGGGACATCTCTGAGCTTACCGTACAGCTTCCACTTTGCCAAGCCATCGTTTGGGGAAATTGTGGTGAGCCATTCCTCCAAAATGGCGGTCACACGGCATTTGTCAGGTGATGAGCGCAAATTTGTGTTGGAAAATCATTTGGTCTACGAATCAAACACGGCAGCGCTGGCAGTCGAGAAACAGACCACCATACCCGTAGAAGTGTCCTCGTGTCGCTTTGAGCACACACCAGCATTACTCATGACTATGAGGGACAAGGTTAAAGCTGAGATTGTGTACTTTGAGGTCACTGTTTTGGAGTGGAGTGCTACGACAAGTCCAGGTAGCTCGCTTGCACTTGGATTTTCGTCTGCTTCTTTCCCGCTAGAGGGAGTTCAAGTAGGCGGCGATGCAGACAGTGCACGCTCGTACTCATTTTTACCTGCGACTGGTCAAGTCCTTTGCGCGAGTGATTCTGCAGTTGATCGTTGGCGATGGAATGAACCTGTTGGTGCTGTGATCCCTGGAGATATCTTTGGTTGTGGCTTGAGAATTGACACTCAAGAGCTTTTCTTTTGTAAGAATGGTCAGTTACTAGGAACGGCGTTTTCAAGCATTTCGCGTCCTCAGCAGCTTCATCCAACTATATCGATGAATGCAGACTGCAAGTTACTTGCCAACTTGGGTGCTACATCCTCAACGCCGGCCAATCATGTAAAGTTTACCTTCCGCTTCTACACGCTAGACTGCGACAATCTCATGACTGCTTTCGAGTGGTTTGAGCCACTGAGTCAAGTGTACGGCGTGATGAAGGCGCTGATGGACCCGGCGAGACCTGATGAGGTGGGCTCGTGTGGCGAGTGTGACAAGGAGCTAAGAGATCAAACTGCCACGGCGCAGCTGCCAGATGAATTCATTCTTTCAGCAGATAATTTCTTGTCTGAAATATCGGAGGATGTTTGTATCTGTGTACAAAGTGCGCATCCATACGACAGCGAGTTACAAGAGTCTGTCGTAAGCATACCGTTAGCAACAAGCATCCGAGTGCGTCTTGATCCTAGGAGCGAGACGGCCAGCTCGCACTGCTTGCAAATCCTTCAAGGTGGAACAGCAGAAGGAGGACCGGATAGAGCGACAGCTGGCGAAGCCGAAGTTCGAGCATTTACGGGTGCATGTGGAGGGCAGGAAGTCAGGATTGAGGGCGATAGTTTTGTGTGGCGATTTCCAGTTCAATCAAACTTTCAGTGTCGCGTGGACCGTGTACGAAAAGGACCATATTTGAAGTTAGAGGTGCGAGATACGCGAATGTCTCTTGTAAGAGATAAAGGCTGGCAAACCGCGATTGGCATGGCACGCTTCGATGGAGGAATTCACATCTGGGAGGTCCGTATTGTATTTGTGACTACCAGCTCCAACATTTTTCTTGGTATCGCACGCCGAGACGTTCGTTTGGACTCGTATTTGGGGAAGGATAATCGTGGATGGGGATGGATTGGAAATCGAGCACTTTGGCACAATGGTAGCAAACAACGCGGTACTTACGGTGACAAGTTCAACACGGGCGACATTGTCCGAATTACGCTGGATCTTCGGCGTGGTACACTAAGCTATGCATTGAATGGCAGAGATCTAGGTGTTGCGTTTGGTCCTGGAGGAACAGGCCCGAAGCTTGAAGGCACATTCTTCCCGGCATTTGCCTTGTATAATCAACGCGACTCCATTGAACTAATTGGTGGACACCGCGTGGAAGATGGAGGCCTCGAACCAGAACTTCTTCGTACGAGCAGCGGACTGGCCAGTGGAGACGATTCATACTACAGTGATGACGATGATCTCGGAGGTCTTATGGGGAGTAGTGAAGGCGCCGAAGATGGCTCAATCCCAAACTTTCGGATGGACTTGGCCATTGCACTGAGTCAAATGGGATTTCCCATCGAGTGGTGCCTCTACGCTTTGCGACAATGTGATGACGATGCCGAGCAAGCTGCAGATTATATTCTCGCCAATATTCATTCGATCGACGCGCTTGTTCGTGAGGAAAATGAAGTCATGGCTCGTCGTACACGTCATCGTCAATTACTGCAAGAACAGGCGTTGGCTTTGTCCGGCGAAGCATACGACGTCTCAGTTGCACCATCGACTGAAGAGGATGTTACTGCTGCTCGCCCCGCAGAAGAGGTCTCAAGTATAGTTGACGTATCGACGGTGTTACAACCGTCCAGTGGAGACATGAAATGGGGTATTGCATTCACTGCTGTCCCCGAGTTCTCCGTGACTGGACGGCGCTTATTGGCATCGAAATACCGTCTGAAGTTACTTCGTCTTCATGAGTCTCAGCGTATCTTTACTGCCGCACGCGATCGCGCTCTGGTGCAGCTAGTGAATGAAATATGTGAGTCCCGGGCAGAAGCTTTACTAAGTTGTGATCCTCTTCGCATGGCACCTGAAGAGTTCGTACCTACTGAGGAGCAGATCCGCGCCTATTCAGTCCTACGCGAAATACCTCTTGAAGCCCTACAGCGTCGCTTTCTATTGTTGCGAAACTTCAATTGTCGACTGCAGACTTCCCTGGCATTTATTGATTTCTCAGCACAACACGAGCGATCGCTACTTGCACGAGGAGTACGGGAGCTGCGTGGCATAATTTTTCAGCACGTGAAACTTGCGTGGTGGCTTGGTATTTTGAAAGAGCAGCAAGCACCTGCTGCAGCTCGTCCAGAAATTGAAGTTGACCGCAATCGAGCTCATGACGCACTTGAACTCTCGGAGCGTGGACATGTACTAGCTAGTGAAGCTGGCGAACGTGACAGCGTGTTTGCACAGACCTTTGAGCAACTCCATAATCTCCAACCGGCACTCTTACGAGGCGCCGACCGTGCATTTAAATGTCAGTTTGTGGGTGAATTTGGTGATGATTTTGGTGGTTTGTATCGTGAATGCCTGGCTCAACTCAGCTCCGAACTTCAGACATTTACTCCATTGCTTCCTCTATTGCGACCTTGTCCTAATGCTCTGATGAGTACAGGAGAAAATCGCGAGCTATTTGTGCCGAATTCGCACCTTCGCACGAGTGCACGACATGTTCAGATGGCGGAGTTTCTGGGAAAATTGGCGGGTG